ATAGTTAATGGTCAAGCTGTGGTGTATTGCTAAAGATAAAAAAAAATGTTCTATTAATTAGACCCTTACAAGACATAATTACTAATTAATATTTATCATTTGCTATTAAAATGCTAAAAACTACACAATATTTATAATGTTGTTTATTTTGGGAATTTAATGATCTGGCTGTATTGGAGATGATCAGAGCCTTGCAGCCGAGGTCTCCTCTGACCTCCTTTTAAGAGTTGAATGCGGGTGGAGTGGGTGGTGATAACTGGTTTGGGACTTTTCAGTACCACCAAAACCATTCTCCAGTCATGATGAATGGTTGCAGTCACAATGAGGCTCTATAGTTTGAGCCTCTTTGGGGTCACAAGTTCACTTCAAATGGAGCTCTTATATCGGGGGTGGGGAGCATGTGTGAGGGATGGGTGTAAACCGGGGTGGGGGAGTCAGTTGTTGTGGTGGGGATCTTTTACTTTTTGAATAGGCTATTTTGCTGGTCCCAGTAAAATAGACACCAAGGCTATTTTACTGGTAAATATAAATAGTGTTTTACACAGTGTAACCCGGATATAAGAGATTTTCTCTGGTCCCAAATTAGAGCCTGTGTTAATGTATATAAAATAGACCAAACCCGGATATAAGAGACTTCTTCTCCAGTCCCGACAACTCTCTTATATCCGGGTTACACTGTAACTAAGAATAGGCCTGGATCAACCATTAGGCAAACTAAGCACGTGCTTAGTGCATCAAGTGGCAAAGGGGCATTACAAAAATTTGAGTAGGATATTATGCGAGAAGTCAATATACTAGCAGCCAGTGGAAGGTCTGGAGCACCAATGTGGGCCTGTGCTTAGGGCATAAACTGATTTTAATACGACCCTAACAAAGAATATATTATATTTGAGATCGTTAGCACAGTGGTTATGTGAGCTGTGGAGGCAGGACTTGAACAACATGGATTCTGTGACTGTTGTCATCAGTGGCATACCTGAAATGTATTGGCAGGAGACCCGTGCCCAAGGGCAAGTTTGGGATTTGCAGAGACTGTTATGCCTGAAGTGCTTAAAATATTCAAAGATTTCTATATTTCCGTTAATAATTGATGATGAATAAATGATTTTAACATGTCAAAACAATTGATGGTGGAAAAGATTTTAAATTATCTTAATTGATAGTGAAAATAAATAAACTTCGGTGTTAAATCTGCGTGTTGTTATTTTTTTAATATTACCTGCCCTCATAATAATAAAAAATATATACCGGAAAATTATCCCAGGGTGTCTATTTTTACCAAGATTGGTAAAACAAGCTTAAAATCAGGTTTGTCTATTTTACTGGCACTGACAAAATAGCCTCTTCCTTTTCTTCAGCTTCAAACTGCTTAAAGCAGTGTACCTTCTATTAGATGACATCTATGATAACACAATAACTTATTTAACTTGTTTATAACCTGTGAGAGTAGTGAAACGGTTACTGGCATGGGAACTGGGTCCGATGAAGCGAGTTCAAATTCTTATCTAGCTTGTTCCGTTCACTTCTGCACTAATGCCCTTGTATGGAGCCAAATCTTGTAAACCAAAGTCCGATAGCTTGGTTGTTTCCGACGCAGCTTACTTCTGGCGGTGAACACGTAACATTAACTATACTGTATTACTTTAAAAATAGGGGTATGGGAAAATATCTGAAAGGGAGCACTAGGGGAGAAAAGTCAATAATTTTTCGACAGAAGCCAGTTACAGATGAATGCGGACTCCATCAGCTTAATGATCCATATGGTGGAAATTGATGGTGGAAAAGATTTTAAATTGTGTTTAATTGATGGCAAAAATAAGCTAAAAATAAACAGGTGTTAAATCTATGTTTTGTTATCTTTTTACATTACCTGCCTTCATATTAATAAAAATATCTACTGGCTTAATAGCTTGCAGGTCTATTTTACTTAGACTGGTAAAATAAGCTTAAAAACAGGTTTGTCTATTTTACTGTGACTGCTAAAATAGCCTTTTACTTGTTTTTTTTTTTTTTTACAGAATTTTGTTTATTGAATTGATATCCTGGTATTTTATTGAACTTCTTGTTTATTGAAGTTAGCTTCAGTTTATTTATTTAATAATTAGTTATGAATTAAAATGAATTACTGTACATGTATTGAAGTTTAGAAAAATCCATTAACTTTTTTTATTGCTAAAACTAGTCTATAAAAACACTCCATGTTATTTCTGCTTAATATTAATATTCATGTTTAAAAAAAAAAATATTAGTTTGTAAATAGATATCAAAAAAACATTTTATTTGTAAACTAATATTTCTCTGAAAGACGTAATTTTAAGCTTTTTATTCCTCTTGTTTGTTAATGTGAAAAATGCACCAAAACTGTTGTACTTAACCACACAATTTTCATCTCTAAGTCAGGAAATAACTAGAAATCTTTACCACTAATTGAGTCAGGCAAGTATTTATTACGTCTTTCAAAAAATAAATAAATAAAAAAAACATTCTTAAATGGAAACATTTTTCTAAACAGGAAATGTAACATCGGTTTATTATTCTATGGAATTTTATTGGTATATATTTTGCACAGTCTTTTTTAACCAAATGCTAGAGTAGATATTATTTTCAGAACTCTCTCACTCACTCACACACACAAATTGTAAAAAGAAATCGCCAGAGACTGACATGTATACAAAAACAATACCCTTTCTGGTAGCAAAAGCTGCTGGTGGTGCCAGAGGTGGCAGTACTGTCTTAGCCACTGAAACTGTGTTACTTCTCCTGGTTGCTATCTGTCAAGGGCAGGGTATCGCATACGCTTTCACACATATGTAGAGAATTATATATATATAATTTCTTTTTTTTTTTTTTTTTTTTTTTTTTTACACAATGTGGTTCATCTTTTTCAAGGCCCAGGAGCTACTTAAGGTTGAGGTTTATGTTAGGAGGCCATTTGTGTAGTGTATATAGGAGCGGAAGATAATGATTAACCCTAGCCTTGAATAGTTTAAGATTGGAATGATCGTGGAAACCTCCTGTTGTGAGTTGGTTCCACAGGGCAATGGCTCATGGGAAGAAGCTGCTTGAGTGGAACTTACTTCTCACCGATAGAATATAATGGGAATGTGTGTGGTTTTCTGTTATGTAAGTGGCATGACGTGTTCTTGCTGTGTAGGTTTGCCTTGCAAACACCAAGGAATGAAGTTCTTCCAAGTACTTTCCATGGAAGTAGCAGCACAGCAGTGAGAGGTTAGCTACATCCTGCCTGTGGGAGAGAGGTTGAAGGATGGAGAATAATTTGTCACCCTCAAGGCCTTGGAGATGCTTTTGAACTCTATTAAGGTTGCGGAGTGAGATCTGGGCAGCTCCTGCCCAAATATGACAACATTTTTGGACTTAACAGGCACTTGTAAAGGTAGAGGATAGCAAGAGCAGTTGTGTACTTATTGAAGCGGTACATAACTGGATGTTATACCTGCACCTTTATCAATGGATTGTATGCAATAGTCCCATTTGAGGTCGAGAGAGTTTGAGGCCCAAAAGTCTTTCAAGGCACAGTGCTTCCCAGCACTGTTCCACCTTATTGGTGGTAGTTTGGGGTCAGATTGGCTTTATATATATATATATATATATATATATATATATATATAAAATAATTTTTTTTAAAAAAAATTATAACATAAGTATGTTATAAAATCACTACAAAATAGCCATTTTGTTTCAACACACTCTGTGTCTTATCAAGTGATGATGTTGAAAAAGAAAATAAATGGTTTTAAAAGTTTCAGATTAATTAACGATCCTACACTAGGGGAAACATTGTTACAAAAGCTAGAATAACCAATCAAAAACGAAGTATAGAAAGAGATATATATATATATATATATATATATATATATATATATATGCAGACACAAAGTATAGGATTGGTGTATATGGAATAAATTCCAATAACCAACAAATACTATTCTTAAAAGAGTGCTCAATACAGAGTACAGCAAATATAATCAACATTCAACACCATCACTTGATAAGACACCAGAAGTGTTGAAACAAAATGGCTATTTTTGTAGTGATTTTATAACATTTTTATGTTATAATTTTTGAATAAATATATGAAAAATTACTTAAAAATCTTAATATATATGGTAACATCAAGAACAAGTAGGAAACAGATCTCGGTCTAACATGTTTCACTTTATTAAACCTTCATCAGAGATCAAGTTAGAAATGATAAAAAGCAAAGAGATGCAGATTATTGGTCTGTTGTGTTTGGTTATTTTTTATTAGTTAGATATGTGTCTCTCTCTCTCACACACAAAATATATATATATATATATATATATATATATATATATATATATATGACTGGATTTTTAAACTGGAAATCAGCCATAATCTTGTCACTGGCCTGATAGTCAAAGTAGTGAGTGTGATGCTGTGAAAATCTCCTATCCATTATTTAATACACAAGCAAGCTTAACACTGCCAAAATGGCCCACTTCATTTTCCTATGCTGGTGAGGTCTGGAAGTAGGCATGGTGGAAGGGAAGGAGGGTGAAGGTTTTTCTGATCTGTGCTCTCATTCAGAAGGAAATAGTTAATGGCATTTAAATTGGTTATTTCCAATCCTTTTCAGGAAGCATATTTCCTCACTGATGGATGATCACCCTATGTGATGGTGGCGGAGGTGGGTGGGTGTCTTTTCCACTTAGGATTAACTAGACTTACACATACCATTTTTTGTTGTTTCTGTTTTGTTTTTTTTTGAGTGGTGGGGGCTTATGTGTGGAATAGGTAAAAACTGCTTTAAAAGCTCTGAGATAGAAGTTTTCATTTACCTGCAGGAAATTGTTCAAAAGACTCCAGTAGATACCTGAAACTATGGATAGTATCACCCCCCTCCAACCTCTTTCTTTCTTTTTCTTTTTTTTCTTGCCTATACATATCTATAATAGTTTAATTTATAAATTAAGCACATTAAGAGATTGCAATCATAAGAAATCTGCTTGTTCTGACTTATGGCCATATAGTGTTAAAATACCAGTTCCCATACAACCACCAAAGTTAAGCAACATTGTGCCTGGCCAGTACTTAGCTGGATGACTGTTTGGGAATACGAGGTGCTGTAAGTTTAGATGTGCAGATGGCACAGTGGATAATGTCTTGGAATTGTTAATTGGAGAGCAGTTTCAATTCTTGTTGGGTTCATTATATTCACTTACATGCAAATACCCTTGGGAAATTTATGAATCCATCTCTTCTCCTCCCAGCTATGGGTTAATTAGTTACATTTGTCATTAAACAATTATTATCTAAAACAAAAAAAAAAACAATTTTTTTATTATTTGGCTTTAAATAAACTTAAAAGGTTTGATAAGCCATAGAAAATGAATCAACCAATCGAAAGGTTTGCTTGTTCTTTAGTTAGCATTACATCATGTCAATGCTTTATAAATAATAGTCTTCTGTTTTGATCATGAAGAAAGGCAGAAAAAACATATCAGATATGCCATTTGATTTCAGTGAGAGAAAGAATATAGAGGAGATGGTAATGCTTTCATGTGTTTAATGTCTGCATCAGTGAAATGAAAACCTTGTTAGTTTTTTAAATCTTTTCATTTGTACCCTCTTACTTCTTTAAATAATGACCTACATTGAAACTTCTGATTGCTGCTGCTATATTTCCTTAAGATTGTTTCGCTCAAATATTTAACGATGCAATGGATGAATTTCGGAAAGTATTTTGTTGCCATGGAACTCACCATGAGCTTATTTATTAAATATTGTGATACATCAGAAAATTAAGAAAGCTGTGAAATTGTCATCCATTCTACTAGTGTCTGGTAATATAGTAGAACAATTATAATATTACTAGAAAGACGTGAAAATTTCATGGCTTCCTATTTGAATTTTCTGATGAAGATTTCCACAAATAACCCGACAAGAATTTCTCTAATATATCAGAAGCATGATTGAAAGGAGTAGTTTTAACCCATGAAAATTTCACGGTTTTCCTATTTGAAATTTCTGGTGAATCTTAATTCTTCTGTTAATCATTGAATAAGCTAATGACGAGTTATACAGCAATAAAATAACCATTGAAATTCCTTTATCACATCGTTAAATATTTGAGCTTAAGAACTTTAAAAAAATATTGAAATAATAATCATTATGTTGGTCATTATTTTGAGAAGTGGGTACAAATGAAAAGATTTGAAATTTACAACTTCTTCCATTTCACAGAAACAGCCATAAAACACTTCTATATTCCTTTCTTTTCTTATTCTCTCACTGAAACTTAAATCATTATTAAGCGCCCGACGGACAACGCGCCATGCAAGCATGATTCACAGACTTTGTTTTATACAGATAATAATGATGACGAGTTTTAACCCGTGAAAATTTCATGATTTTCCTATTTGAAATTTCTGATGAATCTTAATTCTTCAGTTAATAAGATTGAATAAGCTCATGGTGAAATCTAATAAAATTTGTCTTATGTTCATCTGTATGTGCATAAATTGCAAAAGAATTTTGAGAAATGACAACTCAACCTATGAGAAAGTATGGAGCAAGTGTGTAATTAAATATATATATATATATATATATATATATATATATATATATATATTCATAGTATTCAACCATGAATATGTTTGCATACTTGCTTATATACAGATTAATTAAAATAGAAATGTTAAAACTGATACTGTCATTAAAAAGATAAATGAGGGAAGAAAGAGCGATCAGTTTATATATATATATATATATATATATATATATAAAGTAAACAAATATTAATAAATATAAAATTAATACATGAGTGTATGTTTGTATATATTTTATACTAGCAGTAGAGCCCAGCATTACCCAGGGATATAACAGTAAGAGATAGGTCAAGTATCCACCATCATAAAGACTGAAAAATAAAATTGACAAAGATTATTGTTTAAGGTTGACGGACACGCATGTCTTAGTTTTTTTTTTTTTACGAATTGGTCAAACTCAAACAAAAACATTGTTTTCAATCGTTATGAGTCTCCCGATTGAATAGAATAATTTTATAAACAATTGTCTTGTAAATGGAATTTTTAAAGCATTCTGAATGTAAAAAATAAAGAAAAAAGTGTGCAAGGCAATAAGAAACACTACATGCCAAAAAAAAAAAAGTGAAGTTTTGTTGAAATCGGTTGAAAAATGTAGGTAGCCTTTCTGTAATCTTTTAGTTTTACAATTTATGATTTTTACTTATTGAATACAGTAAAAAAAATTGCATATTTTTCTTGTGGTGATTCATAATTAGAATTCTGATTTGAATATATTTTCCACTCGTTGTTTCTTATACAAAAAATATTAACTTTATTTGGGTTTATTAATTATGATCTAACAAATCTTATTCATTTAGTAGCCTTTCGGTAATAATAATCTTTTACAATTTATGATTTTTACTTATTGAATACAGTAAAAAAATTGGACTCCATGTGTATTTAAAGTAGTTTCCCTTTCCGGTTATTATTTTTAGTTAGGACTTGTGTATGTTTAGATTTCATTATCTTTCCCTAAAGATAAAGAATTTATTCCGATGTTCGTACAATCAGTAGAGATCGTTAGATTATTGTTTAAGGTTGACGGACACGCATGTCTTAATTAGTTTTTTATTTTTTACAAATTGGTCAAACCCAAACTCAAACAAAAACATTGTTTTCAATCGTTAGGAGTCTACCAATTGAATAGAATTTTATTATAAATAATTGTCTTGTAAATGGAATTTTTAAAGCATTCTGAATGTTAAAAATAAAGAAAAAAGTGTGCAAGAGAATAAGAAACACTACCTGCCAAAAAAAAAAAAAAAAAAGTGAAGTTTTGTTTTATCGGCTGAAAAATATAGGAAATCCGCTCCCATATTTAAAGGAACCCACACACACAAACAACCCGATGTGAGTTGTCCCCCTTCCATTTTCACGATGTCTCTTAATCGTGTTTTTAAATTGATTTTGTGCAAAAACAATTATATTTTTCCCATTTTTGGCGCTGTTAGAACCACCACAAGGTAATTTTATGTAGTCCTGTGAAGTTTTGTTGAAATCGGTTGAAAAATGTAGGAAATCCGATCCAATATATAAACGTTACAGACACACACACACACACACACACACACACACACAATCTGCGTTTTATAATAAGTAAGATCGTTATATTTTTCCCAAGTAATTTCCAATATTGCTACATTCATTCATTTGCAAGTATTGTTCTATGTATTTTTAGGCAACTGTTTTTTTAATTCCATCATTCTCAAGTTTGACAGAACCAAATCACTCAAGTCGACATCAATCTGTTTTTTTAATGTTTTTTTATATAATATATAATATTTTCAATATACAGTCGCCTGTAGAGAAAAATACCTTATTTAATGTTGGCTTCTTCTCTTTTATTACAACAGTTTCCAGAATTCTTTGCACTGTGTCTTGTATAAAATTTTTAGCTGTGACTTGAATATTACTGCCATATCTGGTTTGGCTGCTCTGACACTACAGTTCAAAAGTTTGAAGCCACCCCTGGTAATTTTTTAAATTGGCCCAAAAAGTAGTTGTTTTGTACTTTAAATAAGAGAAAATAATTATACATGTTTAAAATAAAAGTGAGATATGATTTTTTTATTAGAAATTTTATGACGAAAAGAAAAAAAGCATTTTATGATACCATTTTGCTCTCATCAAAATATCCTTCTTTAGCCTTGATTACTGCAGCACAAGTTTTTGGCATGCATTGCAAATGTTTCTCAAAGTATAAGTTTGGTAATTGATTCCATTCTTTTTTCAATGACTCGAAAATTTCTTTTTTTTTTTTGTTTTTTTTTTTTTTTTTTTTTTTTTTTCACTCTTCTGTCGAGTTCATCCCATGCTAACTCTGAGAGTCTTCAATCTTTTGAACTGTAGTGTACTTTGAGATTCTTGTCAAAATCCAAAGAAGAGTCCCTAATGTAATCTATCCTGACATGGCACTGTGGCTTTAGTCACTTTCCCACCATATTGACGTAGTTTTCCCCTCTGAGTTTTCTACAAATTTTTTTTTTTCCTACAAATATTTTCATGCCAATTGATCTGATGAGGTTTCCCTCCTTGGTACTTTAACTACATGAATTTTATATTACTAGATTGGCAATTAGGTCTCACCTATTTACTGTTTAACTAACTGGTTGTAACCATGTGTTCCATTCAAATAGTCTTTTCTCTGATTTCTTGCCTGTGGAACTCTTTCAATTTCTTGCTTCTCTGCCACCTACAGTCTTCAAAAATTTAAATGTAGTGACAACTGCCATCTTCTGTTTTCTTGAAAACTATTTTATTGTCTTTTCTCATTAAGATTTACACATTCTCTCAGTAACATTTTGCACCTTAATGGCATTATTTCCTTGCTTGGGGTGAAATGGTACGAAAAAAATTGTCAGCTCTGATAGCATACCAGTGCTGGGACTTTTTGTCATGATATAGATGAACACCTTAATGTGAATACTAGTATCCTCAGGCCAAGGTTGAGTTTGATTTACCTATTCCATTGTTCATACTGATATTACCATCCATTATGAATGCCTACGTAAGTGCTTCCACCAGCACCACCTCCACATGTTAGTGAATTCATCATTAGATTCTTAAGTCAGCCAGGGTCACAGACATTGAAACTGTACTGCAAATGATTCAATTGTAATGGGCAGTACATGTGGCAAGGATTGAAAGACTATCATCTTCCAAAGACCTTTGTATTCAGAGAACTAGACTCTGTCCTAATAGCTGTTTTCTTATCAGTTAAACCTTTGGCATTGATTAACTGAAGAGATAGTGCTACTCAAGTTACACTTTTCTCAACTCTCTGGCCATCAGAATGGGATCAAAGTGTAGTATGCTCTCAGGAGTATAAAATGCTTTTGATTTCTCATTAGACTCTTTTTGCAGACAGAGCACAACTGAAAAAATATTGAAGTTCCGAGGAAGAGCTGCCTGTGGCATTACCTCCCTCATTGCACTAAACAGTATCAACCTTAGTTTGCAAGAGACGTGTCCAGTTCGCCGGGCATTGTGCACGTGCCACAGATGAACTTGTGTCATCATTTGTACTCTGGAGGCACCCATCA